AAGAAGAGCCCGAGGGCTGGGGTGGCAGGAGGTGCGGGTGGGGGGAGAGCCCAGGGCTGGGACAGCAGGGGGGTGCAGGTGGGGGGCCAGAGCTGGGGCAGCAGGGGGTGTGGGCAGGGGAGAGTCCAGGGCTGGGGCAACATGGGGTGCAGGGGGAGCACAGGGCTGGGGTGGCAAAAAACATAGAACTGGATTTGTCCCTACCATTCACAGCAAGCTGCAGCATGAGGTTTCAGTTCCACATTCCTTCCCCCTCCCTTTCCTGTTAATTGCGGCAGAGGGAATGCTGGGAAATGTAGTTCTTTCCCTGCTCCAGGGCTGGCTCTATAGGCAGGGACTAACCAAGGAACTACAGCTCCCAGGGCCCCCTGTTGGTTCTCAACTCCCATGCTGGATTCTTGCGCCCCTGAAAATTTGCCACCCCAAGCAACTGCTTGCTTTGCTGGTTCCTAGAGCCGGCCCTGGTCACATAGAGGAGACAGGGGTCATGGCGACCAATCAGCCCATTGTTCCACAAGAAATCCTGTCACTAGCTAGGGAGGTTGGAGCAGACACACAGTGGTCTGCATCTCCGTGCCGCTTTCCATCCCTCTCTTTCCTTTGTAGAGTTTATGCCACAGCCATGGTGTCATAAGGTGCATTTCTACTCGCCTAAGGGGGACTGAAGACATTGATCAGAAGTTAATGCTACTGTGATGGGCATTAACTCCCATAAGATTTTGTTTTCTGAAATTACACAGGTTCCTCAGGACAACATGGCATGTGGAATGGCTGCTCCCAGACTCTCTCCACATTCCTCATTTCCCTTACAGCAAAAAACCTAATTACAATTTGGGAGTGTAAATTAAACCTTTAATTTTGTACATACTGACTACTTACAGAATTGGAGGGCCAAATTTTGTTCTTAGTTACCACGATGCAACCCCAATGACTTCAGTTAATTTTGCATGAGTGTATGCAAGAGCAGATTTGGCTAGAGATTTCAGTAAATGCAAGATGAAGTTCCACAAAAATTCTGTGTAAAATCCCCACTTTGTTCCATGTTTATGGATCCATTATTCCTCGCCTGGTCTGTCACAATGGGCAGATGTTTCTATAATCCAACCACTGCTGTGATTTTTAGGGCCATATTCTTCTCTCCACCAACATGAAGCTATTCATTTCAGAACCCCGGGCAGAGTTTCCCTCTACTCAAAATCAGTGATGTCAGACCTCCATAGCAATTTGGGCATAGGACAAGGAGAGGGTAGAGTTGGGGAACATGTTATGCTATAGCCTCTACAGCTCTCTATTTGGAAGTTAATACTGTTTCAGAGTTGACATTAGCTCTGTCTGGCTCCTCTCTATGTTTGTTACTGCACAGCCATGAAGGAGGCAAGTAATTATGGTCCAAATGCATGATGGCATGAGGAAAGCATCATGTTGAGACACTGAGCTTCCAAGTGTCCTAAGACACAGTCAGATCTTGGGACATCCACTAATTTAGGGAGCTGAACCATCTGATGTTCCATTGTGATGCCCAGTCTCTCTTGTACTGTCTCCCTGACATCAAGTCAATTTCCCTGATCCTAAATGTTCAACTCAAAACTCTTCAGTTTTCTCTTTAAAATATGGCTTGATTTTATTTGTAACTTGTATGAAAGACATCATGAAAATATAGTAGTGTGATTTCAACCCTTTGTTTTACCCTTTATAATAAATCATGCTCTTCATTAACTTTATGAAATCAGTAAAACCATAAGGTAAATAAACAAACTGCAGATAAAAATGTTGACATTTCTTTTGTGTAAGCATAGTGCTTTTCTCTCAACAGCATACACTTGTCTATATTCTGGCATCTTGTGTGTTTTCTCTCAGCTTTCAGTTATGGCCCAGTTCGTGTGCATCTCCCTGCAACTGCATAAGTAACAAAGCCAGAGGCATATTCAGAGTTCCTCACTTCATTTCCTGCTCACTTGAAAGAGTTTAGCTGAATAGGCATAGTTTCCTATAGGGGGGGGAAAAGAAGAGTGACCATGAGGTTGGCAGCTTTTCCTGTCCATGTGATGCCTCTCCCCTTTTAGCTGGCAATCTCCCCTGCTGCTATTGTTTTCTCTCTTCCGCACACTTTTCTGTGATCCATGCGCCATCAGCTGGGGCAGTGTCAGTTTTGCTATTCCTGCTTCTGCTGGTAGAGCAGACAGGTGATAAAGGATATTTAAACAGCATCTTTTATGCATCACCTACCTCTGGGAGGCAGACTGGCTAATGCAGTTGAAACAAATCATCTCATGGCATCTTAGTAAAGCCAGTACTTCTCTCATGTGGCTGCAATCTCATGCTACAGAATCTAAGATTCCATTAAAAAGAAACCAAAGTCTCTAGCCCTTGCGGTTGTGAAGGAAACCTTCCAAATGTGAAATGAATGTAAACCAATGCTGCAATGTCTGTTTGAGATTACCTGAGAGAGCCTGAAATAATAGCTTTGCATGTCAACATTAACAATTTCAATCACTGCTGATCAAAGTACACAAGAACAGAGAGGATCATATTGCTTAGATCTGCATAGACTTTTGAGAGAGGTATTTTGTATTGGCATCCCTAAAGGGCAGAGCTTGGTTAGGGGCAGAGCTTGAATGGGTGTCGCTGCTTTTAGTTTTGTTTCCGATCTTTGCTGGCCAATCTTTGCGGGCCACCATATATAACTAAAACATACTGATGTTAGCCACTTGCACTCCCAACTCCCCTTATAAAGAAGAGAAAAATAGACATCTTTCAGAGCTATCAACATTATTCTTGGATGTGTACAAACAAGGCAAGGAAATTTGGTTTTGGTATATATGTTATATTTGGAAAAAATAATTGAAAAAGTAAGGCGATTTGGCAGTCCTCACCAGCAACAGAAACACAAATTGTCATGACTCTAAAAAGTCAGGTCCTGTATGGGTGAGTTTCACATCTGTTTGCCCCTTTTTTCCCTCTCATTCCTCCAAACCAGTGGCTTTCAACCTATGGTCTATGGACCCCGGGGAGGTCCGCAGACTAAGATTTCCAAAGGGGGTCCACACCTCCATTTGAAATTTTTTAGGGGTCTGAAAATGAAAAAAGGTTGAAAATCACAGCTTTAAACAGTAGAGCGGTCTGCCCATTAGCCTGCAAGCAGCCTTTAAGCTATTCCTTAAATTCATGAACTCTCAAAATGCCTCCAACCAATGAGCTGCTATTGGCTTCAGATTCACCTACCTGTTGGTAACAGTTGGGACAGTCAGGCTTTTTCAGCCCTACCACTCAGTTGAGAAAGAGACTGACTAAGTGGGAGGAGGAGACACTGGATAATCCTGCCAAAGGAAGGGTAAAAAGGAACAAATCCTGAGGCGTTAGTGCACATGATGATCCACAAGGTTGAGAAAGAAAAAGGGCTAGGAGTAACAATGATGGAAGGTATCTGGGACACAGTAGTGAGACTAATAACAGGGTGAATGTAGTTTTCCACAGAATGAAGTTTTCCTCATCAGACTTCATCTCTTGTCCAATATCCTTAGGCAGATCAACAATTGCAGGACATCAGGCCTGTGTGTAAGTACCACTCCAGAGAAATTTAAATACTCAAGGATCATCATGGGTGAGAGAGATATTAATATGAAGAAACTGCATGAAATACTGTGACTGTCCCTTTTAATACTGAATAAGAGTTGTGGAAAGATTCCAATTCACTGAGAATCTCACTCTTGATCTTTGCCTCTTAGTTTGAAACCAAGTGAAATACTATAATTCATTAGGTCTTTTGCACCTCAAGTAGCAGGGTGAGGCACGATCTAGGACCTCTAATGGCTTTTATATGCCACATCCCTGCCAACCATAAATGCTGCACACCACACATTACTGTCAGCTCCTTCTTGACTAGGTTGGTCAAAAAGCTTCCTGAAGGTAAGTAGTTCTCATTGGTTATTGTTCCTGTTCATCCACAGATTTCAATGAAACAAGCAAGCTGCCTTTTATCTCTGTACCCAGCCATCCAATTAGACCTGCTTGGTTGTTGAGGTGTTTACCTTGGGCACTTTGTCACATTTCCCATGGCGCTCTGGCTTGTTTTTTCTTGGGGTGCTTCAGAAATTTTTTTTGGTATTTTGATGCCTTTCAGTGCTTTTTCCTGTGCATTTTGCCAATTTTTGCATGGCATTTTCCTCTGTTTGCTGTCTGACTCAGCAAACTTGAATGTTGTCTTATGTTGTATGTTGTGTCACACTGTTGGCAGTAGCCTTGTTGTTGCTGTTCATTGCAGCTTTATGCTCATTTTGCTTTTGAGGCATCCCTTGAGCTGCT